TGTGCATTCGTGGTAGCGGATCGGCAATCAACAGCGCTAACTTCTCCACGATATTGGTTTAGACCAGTGGTTTGAGATTGTTTTTCTAATTAGTAGACGCTGTAAGTCGTTACACACTGAGGGAATGGAGGAGGGGAGGGAAAAGCGGGGGAGAGAGATTTATGTGTTGGACATCACAGTGGATGCGCACTTTCTACTTATAAGTTGTCAGTAAAGGTGAAACGTAAAGGCTCGAAAGTGAGTTCTGCGTCTCGCGCACTCTCACCGCCCCACCCCACCCACTTGGGTGCTAATTGCATTTCTGCCACAACAGCCACGCGAAAACGCGCCCCTTCATACCACTTGGCGGCACACTCCCATACACCGCTGTGCCAAGCTGACGCGACATTGTGTTACTAAAGCATCTTAATTTACTTTATAATATAAAACTTTTCCCTAATTTTCTAGTACTTAACTGCAGTAACATTAGACGTCTTTTTTTATTTTGAAAGGAAGGGTGGAAAACAACACACCCGATCTGCTACACTACTACCACTGCAGTAGTGGAAGGCAACAAGTCGTCGAGGCGATTCGTGCGTGTCCTACAAGGTAACCATGATGACAATACATCCCTACTGAACACCGCATTTACGAGCATTTGGTGAACAATCATCCCATCGAGTGGCCTATATTCATGGCAGCCAACGCACACACCTCGACGATGGTCTACCCACACAGAGAGCCCTAAACCACCGAGTCGGATTAACACAAACGTGTGTCCACCACACCGTATGCACATCCCTCATCGGCAAAATAACATTGGCACAAGAAGAAACTGGCAAAATTGCCTAACGACGACAAAAATTATACAGGAAACACAATGCCAAGCAAACTGTGAGATGAAGAAGAGAAATAAGAAGAGGAAGGCTTTGCCCATTTTGAATGGGCACTCTTCTTTCATTGACATTGACGCCTGCTCCTTTCTGCCTGCAATGTCGCAAACGCAAGAATCACCGCACCACACCTTGCAGAATTCCAACAGTTTCAGCAAACATCCATTAGCGAACACCGCTCACCAAAATGTACTTCGCCATCGCCACAGCCTCGACGATATGCACATCCTTTGCACACTCACAGAGAAAAGGCCGACTACACCACATTGTACACTTGGTTCCGCTTTCCCAGGTACAATTTTACCTTCGTCTACACACACCCAGCAGCTGCGCCAACAATCTCTCACCGGAAAAACATCGCGCTACCCCTGAAAGCACAGTGAGATATGGAGAAACGATCTGAATAATGACAAACTAATTAGTAGATGGACATAGGACACACGTCGACGTATCGTCTGTCGGAAAATACTTACCATCTCGGCTTGCGTTCGCTAAAATCACCATTCCTAAAGTTGTAGGAGACGTAACTCACTTCGTTTACAGAGAAGGGAGCACCCAAGTACGCTCGCCCTGGATGCTGATGCTTTATTTGATACATTCTATAAAAACGGATACTATAACAGTTGGAATAAAGCCAATGTTACCATGTAATTGTGAAAAGCTACTAGGAAGAAAGATGATAGCGATGCCTCTCCTGAAACACAAACCGAGACAATTAGGACTCACAAAACAATACACTAACACACTGAATGAAGCCAATTCGTACCTGACCAAGGTACAGAGTAACATCAAGGCCCAATTTCCAGCTTATTGTTCTTCAAACATCTCTCGAAGTACACCAGATGTAACACAAGAAACGGACATATTCCGGTCCACTTTAGGCTTCACACGGCAACAAACACAAAGTAAAGTCAAAAGTTTAACACATTTTCGCTTTATATTCACAATTTATCCCTGTTTAACTGAAAATGTCACACTAGTACAATGAACAAAAACTCACAATATCGACGGACAATGTACATAAACAGCAGCCAATAAACTCGACGCTAACAATATAAACAAACGAAAAAAGGGCTAAATTTAAATTATGAATACTAGCAATACGTAAGATAAAAACAAGTAAATTTTAAAAAATGGCAACAAAATACAAAAATGTAGTATTTTTTAATGTTTAATTTTAGAAATTTCGAGCAAAAAGCTTAGTTTTTCAAAGTAAGTTAGTTAAATAAAGATGCTTTAGTAACACAATGTCGCGTCAGCTTGGCACGGCGGAGTATGAGCGTGTGCTGCCAAGTGGCATGAAGGTACGCGTTTTCGCGTGGTTGTTGTGGCAGAAGTGCAATTAGCACCCAAGTGGAGAGTGCAGGTGGGGTGAGGTGGGGTGGGGTGGTGAGAGTGCGCGAGACGCAGAACCTACTCTCGAGCTTTTACGTGTCACCTCTACTGACTACTTATAAGTCGGACGTGCGCATCCATTGTGATGTCCAACACATAAATCTCTCTCTCCCACTTTTTCCTCCCTTTCTCCCCTCCTCTATACCCTCAATGTGTAACGACTTACGGCGTCTTCTAATGTGAAAAACAATCTCAAACCACTTGTCCAAACCAATCTCGTGGAGAAGCTAGCGCTGCCGACTGCCAATCTGTAAGCCTACCTGTACCACACAAGTATTTGTTGCCTTCCGCTAAAAAACCTATTCCATTTGCGAGTCAGCAATTGTAGAAGTAGAGGAGTAAAGAAATTTCTGTGCACGGAGTGACTTTAAACCTACAAGCATGTTAATGTCTAGTGTTTGTCATGATGCAAAATGCAGAGGTGTTTGAATACCTTCAATGCTACACCCAATTGCTCACAACAGCTCTCTGCCTCTGTCTCCTCGCCCAAGCCATTTCCTCTCACCACCCCCACCACCCTGTCTGATAGCGCCGCAATCACTATGGGGTACTGGGAGGGGAAAACTGCAGGCGGTATATTAAGTACGCTTGCAATATGGGCCGCCCGTCTTGTTTCATTCCAGCAGGTGTTCTTTTTTCACTGCTTTATTGCTCCCTCACACTCTCGGCAGACGCATTCTTCAAGTAGGCTCATACTGAGTGTGCCCAGGAAGCAGTTCCAGAAACGGCTACCATCGCAGCGCCACAGCACCACCTCAACGGTGTCACGCGAGTACGAGTGGGGATGAGGAAGCTGCCCACTCCTAGCACTCTTAATGTGAGTGATGATACTACTTATGTGGAGTTCTCAGTAGCCAGTGCTTGGTACAGTGTTGTTTGTCCCTTTTGAGGTAACCGGGGGCCCCGCCTATAGTTCAGTACTTCTTTCAAGCTTACCACCTTTTTTGGAAGTGGTACCAACTTCTTTTTGTCGTCGGCCTCCCATGTCGTTTTCACGATTTCGTCTCGAAAAACAGGATTAGACAGTTGTGCAGCGCCTCCATTTGTGGTACTAGACGCCAATTTGCAAACCAATCTGAGGATTTGGAATGTTTGTTGCTCAGTTTTTTTCTTCATTGCAAGATGTGGAACAAATCGGTCGGTCTCTTGAAAGCAGATTTACTTATTCTCGAACCTTTACGTGTCACCTCTACTGACTGCTTATAAGTAGGACGTGCACATGCAGGGTGATGTCCAAAACACTGCTTTTTTTGTATTGTGTCACACGAACTGTTGACGGCGGTTTAGACAGCCAGTTCTCACCACCCCCACAGCCCACCTACTCTCCTCACCGAGCGAGCGAGCGTGCGTGCACCTTGTTGCTGTGACTCATCCGCCCTAGTCAATGGATCGATAAGATGACTACGCTGCCCGCCGATTGGCTGTCCGGTTAGGAGGGCAGAGCGCTGAGCTGCAAACAACTTTCCCACCGATGGATGGATGCGTGGATGGATGGATGGATGGATGTAGGGGCGCAGAAGAAAAGTGAAACAAGTGGTGGAAGGGAAGAGATGGGCAGTGGATTTATAAGTGTGCGCGTAGGTCGGTCGATAGGTAGACGACAACAGCAGGCGTGTAGAGAGGTAGACGAGAGTGGCAGGTACTCATGCAG